CAAAAAAAAAAAAAAAAAAAAAAAAAAACTGAACTGTTATGGAGGGGTATTTGCCATAAAAATGCACTCTTAACTCAAACTCCGATGGAATTAGGATATGACAGGGTAATGATTGATGGGGATTAAAAAAAATTATTGGATGCTTTGGGTAGTATTGAACCAAATTTTGTTGATACTGGAAACTTTGTGGAACAAGTCCAAGCTCATAGGAATCTATTTACAGATTTTTTAGTGAATTGGACAAGTCATTCTGGAAACGATCGATATTGTTGATTATCCTAGCTAAGTTTGCTTTGACATGTACTAATTCCATCAGTTGGAGGAGAGTGTTGGAATTTTTGTATCCTCTCCTGCAACAAGACTGTTTGAATAGTTGATGAAATATAAATATTGCCGTTTTTTAAAAAAAAAAAAAAAAAAACAAAATCTTAAACAATTAGTAGATATCTAAACCCTGACATTTAAAATATTACGCATAAACCTCATATGGTTTGTATGAGTGTAACACATAAATCTTTGTCGTTAATGTCCGTTATTATCTCAATTAGTAAATTACATCTAGACCCTTGAAATTTAAAGCGTGTAATACTTAAACTTTTTAAGTTTAAAATATTACACTTAGACTAAAAATACTACAATTAAAGATAGAATATCAAATATTTTAAATTTTACAACTAAAATTTATATTCTATTATGTCATTTATTGAAGTAAAATTAAAATTAAAATTTTAATTTATTTCTTAAAAAGTTCATAATTAGTATTGTTGATGCCAAAATTTGGATAACCTCCACATCAGTTTGTTAGGCTTCGATCACTTGAAAAAGAAATTGGAGACCGAAGATGAGCTGCATTGGTCGACTCTCCAATGTCTAAGTTAGCAAGTGACTCAAATGTATGAACTGCGTTTAGAAGTTAGGAGTGACATAATTGGAACATCAAGAAAACTTTATTTATAGGAGTTCTGACAATTTGAATTGTATAGGGACAATGACTGAAGATCTAGTCAATCATAGAGAGACAAGGATTATGTCCTTACATTCATAAGCTAATTTGATGTTTTTCGCGCTGTTAAATTTAGTTTATCCATGATATGTAAAATCCTATTCAAATTAGAATTCTTGACATGATGGGTTGGACTTGGACTAAATGAATTTTTCACATTGGGTTAATTTTTTTATTATCAAATACGAATATATGAAATAAGTCTAAACAACACATTTACATGTTCCATTATATCATCAATTGATATAAAAACCAAACAAAATCCCAATTTTTTGAGAAAAATAGTAATCTGTATAAATATATCAAAGAACCCAATTTAACACTCTTTTGCATAGAATTATACTATCTATTGAAGTAAAACTACAAAACTAAATAAGGGATCAAAATTAAATTGACACAATACCTTCTATCTTTAGTTGGGGTAATTAAGTCGTTTAATAGATTTCATTAGTTAAGTAACTAATAAGGAGTCTAAATATAATATTTTAACTTTGAAAGATCTAAGTGTTTTACGTCTATATATTTCAGGGAATCTGGGTGTAATTTACTAATGAATATACTAACAAACATTGACGACAGGAGTCTTAAGTGTTACGCGCATATAAATTTTAGGGGATCAGTATATAAAATTTNATAAAACAAAGCGGATTTCAATAAGTATATTCGATGGTTTTAAGTAGACTCATCCAATGACAACCAACATTCTTCTCAAGACCATATACATTGAATTTTGCACTCCAATCCATCATTTTTCACTTATATTGCATCGTACATTCAGTCACAGGTTAGTCATAATATTTTCTATAATTGCACCACATTGTGCAGATTTAGTTCTTTCAAGAAGAAGAGATATTGCATTTTTGTGATAAATGGTGAGTCAGTTTGAGCAATAATGTTGCTCTACATATTTCTTTTCCGGATTTGGTTCCAACAATTTTTAACTACTAATTGCGTGAGACAAGAAATCAGCAGATAGCTCTGATTTGTTGACACTCTAGTAGATTTCATCAACAATGGGTCCCCCCAAGAATAAAGAAAGTGCAACCGAAGTTCTTCTTAAGTTGGGTTAATCAAAAAGAGTAATGATTGTGATCTTAAATTTGGATCCTAAATGTCAGTTTAAATCAATAGGATCATTGGATCGGTGGATGTTATTAAAAAAATTAAAGAGAACCACTCATTCAATAGTTCCTATTCATTTGCGATACCATTTGGGATCTAAAATTTAAGATCCATAGCATTTCCTCCCCCAACTCCCCCTCCAAAAAAAAAACTAAAAGTTTTGCAAAAATTCCATTTTAAGTACAAAAGGTATGCAAAAATCTACGGTCAACTTCAAAAATCATGTGTAGTTTACTCATAATTGTTTAGTTTTGTGAATGAGGACCTATATTGTTTATTGTATTTTTCTTTCTTTTGTTTTTATTTTTGTTTTCTTTCTTCCTTTCATCATCATCTTCTTCTTGTTTGTGGATGGTAATGGATATAGTTCTATAAATTTAATCAGATTGAGCATCTATTTGTTTTTCACAAGAGGTGGGTAACTTTGATAATAGATAAAATATTGGGATAGAGAGAGTGTCACAGGATAACTTTCATTTTTCTTTTGAGGTTACCTGTGAAGGCGTTGCTATTACAACCAACCACACTCAACTCAAGAATAAGGGACAAAAACTCACACAGAAGACACACACGAATTTACTGGGATAACACTCCCAAACCTTATATATTGAACTCAACAATTTACATGGACTCTCAAAAGCCAGAACACTCTCTGCTTTCCAGAATGTTCAAGTACCCCTATTTATACAAGAGGAAGGTAGATGACACCCCCATCTGCCAAGGGGTAGTTACCCACGTTTTTACTATTCCATAGCATACTGGGCTAGCAGACTTGGTCTCTGTGCAACACCTGACAGGCAGTTCCATCACTTCGAGTAACTGTTGTGAAACTGCCCTTCATCAGCATGCATGTAGACTGAATTCAGGCTGGGGACATCCAGAATTGCCTCAACAACTATCTTGATTGAGTCTCAGCATCATAACCGCCCACATCCTCTTGGTCACATGCATTGAGCAGCCATGTGCCAGTCAGGTGCCCACATTCAGCAGCCAACCTTGCCACACGAACCAATGTGCATGCTGAGTTCAACCCATGTCATGCAATCCGAAGTTCTGCACCCACATTGCTTCAATTGAGCCTACCCATGCTGCCATGCTCAACTGGGTGGTCTCATGCTGCCTTGGTTCGCCCTAATCTGTCGAACCACTTAGCCGCGTCACCTTGATTTCAGTTTCTGGCATGCCT